CCCGGCTCTTCCCCAGAGTTTGCCGCTTGGTGTGAACGTGACATTTCTGAACTGTATCGGAACTAAAGTGGGAAAAGTACTGCGGTGTGAACACGCCTCATAACACGGGAATAATAAATGGAGTGCTCTCCCTCTCCCCTGACAGCCTGTCAATATCGTGCAGCTCGCGGATCAGTAATGACGAGTGACTCGACAGTAAAACTAAACATATCTGACTATAACTCGTTTTGGTAGTTTGAGAGATATACTAACCTGAAGTGTGTGTTTTGTTCCACTCACAGCTGCAGGGGATCATGCAGAGCTGCCTGTTGACTCGCCAGCAGCAGCTGATCTCTCTCTCCCGTCAAATTAGACTTCACTCGCGTTTATGTCCATATCGATCAGATCTAACTAGTTCTAGCTAATGATATGACTACCTGCTTATCAAAAGACACCTAAACAATAAGCGTCGCTATGCAACCGGGTGAGGCCACAAAGTATAGCGCAGCATTATGCATTTGTTTACATGCCCACCGGAGCCCAGAGGCATTACCAAAAACATTGAGTTGGGACAATCAAACCAGAGGGGTAAAAAAACTCCTTTCAGATTTTAGGACTCTTATTCCTGCATCACTCTAGTTCCAATCTGATTTTCAAGTCTGTGAAAATGTTTTAAAACGGTTTCTTGAAGAAAACATCTAATCTTGTATCATGGTATCACTTCTAAAGATGACATCACAACAACACATGCCACCTTACCCTTGTGTTACATTTTATACAGTAAGGCTTACATTTTCTGCAGTGTCTCATGTTTTTTTGTATTTATGTATCTCTGTCATTTGTATAAACGAGAACATAAGGAAAGCTATTAATTGTTTTGTTTTGCTCTACAGATCATTTCCCAGTTGATGGTGTTTATGATCAGCTTCGTCAGCACGGTGTTCTGTGGTCATCTGGGCAAAACAGAACTAGCTGGGGTAGCTTTATCAATTGCGGTGAGCAGACCTTCTCGAATTCGAATCTGTTTTTGGCCTACCTTCCAGTACCGGCAATATTTATCTTTTAATGATCATGTTTTGTTTTGGCAGGTGGTTAACGTCACCGGTATTTCCATTGGCACTGGTTTGTCGTTAACTTGTGATACCCTCATATCTCAGGTAGTGTCCCCCCCCTTTCATTTGTCCAACCAAAACAAACAGAACCAATACAGCTGGGTTCCCAGGCTGTCCTGGGGGCCCCTCTTTTAAAACAACTTAAAACAATGAGCTCTTGTATCATGTTAGTTTTCTTTGACCAGTCATACCCTTGGTGTGACTTGGTGTTTTCCAACTGTGGTTTACTGAATATCCGCCTACCTGTGTCCCGCAGACGTATGGGAGCGGTAACCTGAAGCGTGTGGGGGTGATTCTCCAGAGGGGGATTCTGATTTTGCTGCTGGCCTGTTTCCCCTGCTGGGCCATCCTCATCAACACTGAACCTCTTCTCCTCGCTGTCAAACAGAGCCCAGAGGTGGCCAGGTTAGACATTACTCAACCCCCTAAAAACACATATTTTAGCTTCTTCCCTTCAGTGAGACTCTTATCCAGTAGATGTGATCTTATCTATATACTATATGAACTCGGTTTTCTTGTTAAATCATGTTTGGACCCTGCAGTGTGTATCAAGCTTTGGTATCATAAATGTGCTAAGCCCTCAATTCATTGTCTAGACATGACCCAACAAACTCTAAGCGGCCTTTAAATCCTAACCTCTCCTCTAAACAACAAACAACTACAGCATTTTATTTTGTCATGGACATGTGACCTTATATTTGGCGCATTCACACCGCAGTACTTTTCCCACAAAGGTTAATGAGAACTTAGTTCATGAGAACTCTTTAGTTCTCATGAACTGAGTACAGATCGTGTTCACTCCGGAATAAGTTCCTGGGGGAGGATTAGGCAAATGAAGCCGCTGACGTCACTTCTTCTTCTTCTGCTTTGGGTTTACTGGCAGGCCGCAAACAACTTCACGGCGTATACTGCCACCCGAAGTCCCCAGCCAGAAGTCCCCGGAGTTGGGGACTGGATTCAGTAGAAGCTGCTGGGACTCCCAGAAAAAATATTTTCTAGTGATAATCAGGAACAAAGATTAAAAACTAAACCCTGTGAAAGCGATAACAATATAATACACACTTTTATGGAACCTTTTTGATTTACATTTTATCCTCAATGGACATCAGAGAAACTTTGTTTGCTACTTGGTGGCAGCAGAAACAAAGATACAACCAAGTACAACATGGTCACCTGTAATTAGACCCTCCAGAAAAACGCGGGCAAAAATCCTTGATTATGCGGGCTAAAATCCTTGATTATGCGATTAAACATGCAGGGTTTTTATGTGATTTTATGCGGTGAAATTGCGGGAAGTTGCGAAATGTGCGGAAAGTTGCGAAAAATAATAGATTTTTTTATTTTATATTGGGCTGTCTTATTTATTCTCTCTCACACACAACCTGCCACTAACGTTAAACCCCTTTCCTATTCAATTAAACACATTCAATGTTTATTTATTGTAAAAGCAATGGGGCTATTTTAATCACTCTCTCTCTCTCTC